CCCCCCCCCCCCCCCCCCCCCCCCCCATCATGACCCAAAGAGAGGCCATCTGAGGCAACAACCTCAGACTTCTCCTAACATTGCAAAGAAGGAGAAGCATTTCAAAGTATTTTTTTTAGCTTATGCTATATGAATGGGAACATGTAACAAAAATAAAGGTGTTATCCCAATTTGGCTGCGAAAGTGGACATACACTTCACAGACATTTACACGTGACCACAAGTCACAGACACTTTAATGGCTAAGGACAGTTGTATATGAGAGACAACAATTTCATTGTTCATTTACTGCAGAGGTAAATGGCTGCTTCCTATTTTGTGAGGTAAAAATATACTGTGTGAATGTAATAGCTGGTGGAAGGGGTCCCCTTTCTGAGCCATAACTCAATCCACTGGCAAGCCTTCCACCCAGCCTGAGTTAAATATATCAGTGAGGAGGAGAAGGATGATGAGGGAGAGCTGTGTGCATTCCTCACTGCGGACACACACAGGAGGGTCACACTGACATGCTGTGAGAGGAAGGGGGGACACACAGTGCACAATTCCCTGCACACACACTACAAATACTGACACACAGTATCAGAGAGGTAAACAGAATCCAGGGAAGACACACTGGGCAGGTCCCACACTGATAGGCTCAAGGTGGCAGACACAGAAGGCTGTAGTCTGATTCACACCCACTGGCTGGGTGGAGAAAGCAGTAGCAGGGTGAATCCAGACACTGGCACATACACTCAGCCCTGCTGCACAGACAGATTCCACTCAGCTCACTTTCTACACACTGCTTTGGTTTTCTTTCTGCCAGCATGGTTGCAGTCAGGCTAATCGCAATTGGATTATACCTCCAGCTTTTTTTCTGTTATGTCCTCTCTCAGACCTCCTTCATGGACAGTGTCTTCCCAATACCTGCAGGTAATCAGCACTTTGGCTACTGTATATTGCATCCCTTCCATGGGGTACTTCGCTACTGCACCTGCAGGCTGCATGCATCTTATGGAGCTGCAGTGTCACCTCTTCATATGTACAGTCCAGTTGCTCAGTTTTATAGAAGGTTCCTGACCTGCAGCTTGTTAGCCTGCATGTTGACTTCTATTTTGGTCTGGGATGACCAATGTAGAACTGGAGCAAAGGCAAGAAAGCCACTGACAACTGTGTGTATGAATGAATTAATTTCCAATCTCATTTCATAATATATCCTTATATGCATAAGCTTGTTGATTTTGGAAAGATTCAACTTCTATACCCCAGCGTATAAACCTCCAGAGTGTTATGCATGGGAATGCTGGTCAAAAAACAAATATATAGCGTCAAACTCCAGTGTTCTATATTACATTAGGATCTGTGAATCATGCATGCATTTGATTGGCTGTAATGCCTGTTCTATTATCATTTTATTAACATAACTAGCGCTATTCCAATATTGTCTCCAGAGTCTTGTTATTGTGTTTCTATTCTTTTATTCATTGCTATAGGAACATACTTTATATGCTTTAGATTTTAAACCTGCATATAGCAGTTGTGTTTAACTGATATAAGGGGTTAAAATCCAATGCAAGGCGGGTCATTTTCATTTTCTTGCAATATATGCAGCACAAACCTTTTATTTCATATTCCATTTACAACCTTAAATATAAAAGGGGAGGTATACCCCTGTTTGTGGTATATTAGACCCTATATACATGTACCTATATGTTTGCTCTATACCCAACTAAGCTGCAGGGAAATGTCTAGTTTGTAGCATTTCCTTATTATTATAAGCAGATAAGGAAAAGCCAGAAAAAAATGTAATCATTACATTCAATATGTTTGATGCGTTATTTGTTTAAAATTCTCTGTTGCTTTTAATTATCTGTGTGGTAGCCTGATCCTTTCCATGTGTAAGCACCGTTTGATAAAAACAATGGAAACTGTAAAATAAACAAAGCAAAAAACAATAAAAACAAAAAATTAAATGTGGTTAATAATTCCTGCTGCACCCCATTTGTTTAACAAGATTCTTTAAATTACAGGGAAATTGAAGGGAATGAAATCTCAGAAATCATACTCATTTTTGTACATTAGACATTTTCATACATTAATATTATTATGAATATAGTTATTATTATTATGAATATAGTTATTATTATTATGAATATAGTTATTATTATTATATTTTTTTACATTTTCTTGTAGATTACTGTATAAAGGTCCTATCATTTAATAATTTTTTAAATTTTTTAACAATATTTTTAGTGAATATTTTTTAATAAGAGTGCCCAATCCAGTCCTTTTGTTATGCTAGATTACCCGACGGGGAAAAAAAATCAATAATGCAATAAAATGACATTAAGTACCGCAGTGATTAAATATAAGGTATTCAGTTTCGTGAACTGAACAAAAGTATCAGCATTGATATGATAATGATATGCATCTCTTTCAATTCCTTATAACAACATATTGCTTTATAAATAGTGCTGTGATGACAATTCATTTAGGTGTATTTTTACTTGAATGTAACCACAAATCTAACATCCATATGATTTTACTTTTGCATCTGCAGAAATTATTTATATTGTCGCCTCCATCTCTAGGAAAGTGATTTTTTTTTTGTCATATAAGTCTTTAAGATACTTTAGGCTCTTCTTTTGCAGTGTAAAAATAATTCACTTTAATGATCCTAGCTTAATATTGAAATTGCTCTGGGTTTTTTTTAGATACCATTATATTGTAGAGGATGAAACTATCAGGTTCCTCGGCACAATCTCTTAAATCTGCAGTGACCTATATGTGAATGAATTAGATCTTGCCTTGTTTATTATCCCACAGGAGACGAGAGGAAAATAAACTGCATATAATTATTTGGTTGCATAGTCAGCACTTGCATTTTTTTTCTTTTCTATAATTTGATTGGTTGTATAGTCAACATGCACATGTATTGTCTTTCCTATCATTTGATTTAGCCACAGTAAATTTTAACAACATTTACTAATATTAGTATATTTTAACAATATTTACTAATACGGTATTTTTTCAAACCCTGCTCACATGTTATGTCCTATTAATCACCGGTATGTAAAAGGTACAAATGTATTTCTCAATGTTCCTACTTTGGTAATCTGCTCCTTCATATCTCATGTAACAGAGCCACTTAGCACTCAGAAGGCTAAAATGTTATATATTAGGACATGGGTTCTACTTTCTTTTGCATACATTACTTTAAAAGGTTCAAGCTGTGGGCCATAGAATCGAAAATGGGATGTGAAGTTTGCATTTGTAAGTTTGCATATGTATAAGCTGATAAATAAAGGGGGGTTGCAGGTGAGAGTGGCAATACCAACCCTATGAATCTGTGGTTTGTTGCACCCTGTGCACCCCTGATAGTTAAAATGGATGTAAAGTGTCTTTAAAACAATTGTTAACAGGCTTGTTAAAGCAGAAGAGACTGTCCAAATCTCCTTTGCCAAAAATCTCCCACCTGCCTGTCAGCATTTTTTTTCCCTGTGCACTGCGCATGCATGGGAGTTACATCATGCTGGCCAGACCAATCAAGAGGCCAAACCCGGAAGAAGACCTGGAGAAGATGGTAGTGCCGGCAACGGAGGGGAGAGCGGACTGTCCAGCGCTATGGGATAAAAAGGTTACCCCGTAGTTCTCTTTTAATGATTTTTTTAAAATGAACATATTATATAAATTATTATTCTATGATCATATAGGATTTGCATAGCACCAACAGTTTACACTGCTCTTTAAAATGTAAAGGTGGACACAACAGTTACAGTAGAATTTAAGACAACAGGGTTAGGTGGGTCCTGCTTGTAAGAGCTTACAATCTAAAAGGGAAGGACAAGTGATACAAATAATAATAACCGTGTGGGACTGAGTTGATGGAGAAAGTAAAATTAATTTCAGTTCTTAGGTGGCAGCATAAGCTTCCCTGAAGAGATGCGTTGTCAGGAATCGCCTACAGGCACACAGAGCAGGAGAGAGCCATACAGATTCGGGTAGGTAGATCCAGTGGGTAGGATACGCTCTGAAGAAGTCTTGGAGAAGAGCATGGCAGGAAGCGATGAGGCAATTAGGGAGCAGAAGGTAGTGAGAGGAGTGAAGGGATGGTTTGGGTGATATCTTGAGAATATTTGGAGCTCAGTTTTTGAAAGATTGAGTCCTAGAAAGTGGTGTGACATCCATACTTATATGTCAATAAATTACTGATGCGCAGACTAAAGAGGTGAGCTGAGAGATACATTTAGATGTCATCAGCATAGAGATAGTATAGGAAGCCAATGCAATGTTAAAAAACTGACAGTGAGGAGGTGTAGATAGAGAAAAAAAGGGGTATGAGGACAGAGCCTTGGGGGACCCCTATGGAAAGAAAAAGAGGAGAGGACAGATTTGTAAGTGACACTGAAGGAGCGTCCAGATAGGTAGGGAGGAGAAACAAAAAAGAGCAATGTCTCAAGGGAGTAAAGTTTTGTGAGGAGCAGTGAGTGGTCAACCATATCAAATGCGGCAGATAGCTCTGATAATAACACTATTTGTAGCGACCATTGGTTTTAGCAGTTGGTAATTTGTTAGTGAGTTTGTAGCAGGGCTGTTTTTGTGGAGTGTTGCAGACAAAAGCCAGATTGCAAAGTGTTGAGAATGTTGTTATCAATGAGGTATAACTTCAGATGTTTGTAAACTATGCATTCTTGAAGTCTGGAAAAACGCAAGCAAGAAGATAGGTATTAAGTGGTCCAGACCAGTGGGGTACAGTGAGGGCCTTTTAATTATGGGGCCGACCGGTGCAGGTTTTAGAGGGAACAGCAAGATGCCAGTAGAGAGGGAGAGATAGAAGATGCGCATTAGAAAGCGAAGAATAGAACAAGAGGTTGAGCAGTGTAGTTGTAAGGGAATGGAGTCCAGGAGGCAGGTGGTAAGGTGGGCCTCAGAGAAAACTTTAGCAACTTCCTATGCAGTTATAGGGTCAAAAGAGAAAAGTACTTAATGTGGTGGTAAACATGATCTGTAAAGAGGAGGAGATATTTGGACAGTGGAAATCTCATCACAAATTGCATTTATCTTGTTTTTTTTAAATGATTGGCAAAGTTCCAGGGAATGAATGAGTAAGTGGGCTTGGCAGCAGAGTATAAAGTAGAGAGCTAAAGGAGAATTATGAGGTGAGTGATTTTCACTCAGCCTCATAATCTGAGCCGACTTGTGACAATGAAACTGTCACAGGTCGGCTCAGTAGATCGGGAGGTGAGCGAACACATACCGGCGCTCACTCACTTCTCGATCTATCCGTGCAGAGAGCCGTGACTGTCACTCACGGCTCATGGCAGGGATTCCCTGTCCGATCCACTAGCGCTGAATGGCGGAACTGACGGGGGAGGGGGTGGGCACAGCTGGCTCTGCCTCTAGATAGGCAGAGCCAGCTGTCACTCACGCAGCTGGGCGGATCCGGACATAATTGTCAGGATCCGCTCTGGCTGCGGTGTCTCAGTATACCGCAAGCTGTAGCTCGCGGTATACTAAGCTTTGGGTGACGGTAGGACGCTAGTTTGTGTCCTCCCGTTACCCTTAGGAGAACTATGGGGAAAAGCCCTAACCCCATAGTTCTCCTTTAAGGGTAGATGAGAGTTTATTTATGAGAGTAATGAAAAATGTCTGTTTGGCAACATGGAGGGAGAAATTATATTTTAGGAGGGCAGATTTATACAGAGTGAAGACTTGCAGGAATTTACTTTTATGCCACAATTGCTTAAGAGCATGGCTATGTCTTCTGAGAATTCTGGTGTCATGCAGGGTTGCACTGGTTGGAACCTAATTATGTGTCTAGTGATGGGAAAAAGTGTACCCAAGAAGCATGAGAGTTAGCTGTTGTAGACAAAAGTGGCCAGGTCAGGGCAGGACAGGGGGGAGATTTTGTCGTGGAGGTTGTCAGTAGCAGA